ATATTAACACTCACATTTTTTTTTTGACATTCCGTTTTTTTCATTTGTCCAGACTTATTCTTCAGTTTGTAAATTTCTTAAGGTCAACGAGTGTGTATATGTATGTGTGTGATTTCTTTTATATCACTGGTCTTTGTCCACAGGGCCTACTTAACTCATGTTGCTATAGTGAAAAAAAATAAAGCCCAGAAACTACCCTAAGGCATTCTTTGCCAAGGAATAAGAGTGTTTTCTTCACCCTTTCTTTGCCCACACTGATATAAAGATTCTAGATTTCCATATTCATGAGGTCTATAAAATGTTTACTTTCACTTTTACTCGTTTCTCTCCTAAGGAGTATGTGTTCTTCACCATTTTTTTCTTTGTCTAATCACAGAAATAGAGAGACACCTAATTCTTCGTGGACTCACATCTAGTTTCCCACACTTTGTTCATCATACCTCCTTGCTGTATGGGCAGGGAAGTAAGGAGAGGAGGGAAGGAAATAGTGCTAGGAAAATACAACAGAAAATACAATAGAATTCTAGCCTAGAGATGTAATTTTTTCATTGGTGACTCTGCTTAAGATCCCTCATCTTAATAATTAATACTAATTAATATTTAATAGAAACTTCAGTTACTTAATCTGTAAAATGGGAATAATAGTACACCCTGCTTATTTTGTCGATGTAATCAAACTGTAGAGGTAGAAAAGATATTTTCCCAACCCCCCTAGAGTCTTCTCAGGCTGGTGAAGCAATGACATTTGCATCAGACAGATTAGTAGGAGAAAAGGACAAATTCAATAACCTAAGTGTGGACAATCTACATGGAGGTGGAATCTTAAGTCAGAGGGGCAAAATGATGGCATATATGATTGATAGGTAGGTAGGTAGATAGATAGACAGATACTGATATAGATATCCTGAGTAAAGGAATAGGACAAGGGCCTAGTCTTTTGAAGATGAGGAGACTCATATATTGGGGAGACAGGGACTCACTTGAAGACCAGATGTTATGTAATGAGATGTTTACCCTGTCGCATAGATAGGCTTTTTCCCATAGAAAGGTTATTTCTGATAAAAATCCTAATTTTAGGTAATACCCTCAATTTTTATTCTTTTAGGTAGGTAAGGGAATGGAAAAGTTTCTTTGACTGTGCCAGGCCTCAATTGACCTTAGCTCAAAATAATCCACATATCAAAATAATCCTTAAACCAAAAATAATCCATACCTTGAAAACATCTGTTCTGAACATCATGGGGAGGTCTAGCCTTCAAAAAAAATGCAAGGTAAAATTAGTAGGAAGCCACCATTACAAACAGGACCCATTCAAGATGGTGAATATCCTTTTATTGTATTCAGCCCATTGATTCTCCCTTTTTAAAAAAAAAATTTTATTTATGCATACAAGAACTGGGGTACAGGCCAGAGATGTGGGGGGGGGGTGAGAGGATTCACCAGAGACAGAGAGGGGAGCAGAACAGGCAGATTGACTGAAATACACTGCTGAGGGGAGCAGTGGGCGAGTCAGGAGAGGTCTGCTGCTCCCTGTAGGTATAGCTCCTTGGCTGGGGATCACACTCTTGCTGCCGTGGTTGCAGATAGCTTCATAAGTTGTATCTTAACCCCTTGCGCCACCAGGGAGGCCTCTGATTCTCCCTATTGACTCTTTCAAACTTTAGCCCAGTGTAGACTCTTGCCCATCATTCAGGGTGTGATGGGCATATTTTTTCAGGAAAAAAGGGCTATTGAAGACTGAACAGAACTTTGCTCTAACAGTAGAACACATTATTATCACATCTGTGTTATATGAAATGATTTGGTAGAATATGTTAAAATCACATAAAATGTTACTATATAAGTTTTATCACATTTTGCAAATAGTTCCTGGAAGGTCACCTCTGCAGCACTGTTTTCCAGGAAGTGTATATAGCTTCCTCTCAGAAAAGAGCCTATATGCAGCAATTATTTGATTAAACCACACAAAATCACATTATTTGACCATTTTTGACCCACAAAATGACAATTTCATATGGTTCAGTCTAATACATCTTTCAAACCAGTTTGCTCTGGATAGCATTGTCCCAGCGCTCAGTAGTCATGAGAATGAAATTCTGCTGAAGAGAACTTCTTTTAACTGATACAAAAAAAAAAACACCCTAATTTTGCAAATCTTCCATATGTCTTTCTTTAATTTAAAAACAAAGACATGAAGTGTAGTTGCCACATGTCTGGCAGAAATCTGTTTATGCTTGAAATTAGTAAATATCAAGATGTATCTTTATACTGACTGGCAAAGGAGGCAAAAGTAAAATGTGTAAACAAAAAGAAATACATAGCTAGGCTGGTGTATATGCCAATGAGTATTAATTTGCATAATAAATAGTTCAATATTCAGGAGATTATAAAATAGCAATTACTGCTGAGTTGCTATATTAGGGCTTGCTAACAAAAAAGACATTCAAATTGCAATAGTTTGCTTTTACAAAGAATTTCTCCTGAAGTCTTTATTTTGAAACAAGATTTTATTTATTTTTGAAAGATCTTTTAAATACTTTGCACATTTCTTTGGAAGAGAAGCAGAAATATCCTAGCCTAATAATAATAATAATAATAATAACTGTGATAAATAATCTATGGTTAAAAAAAGAACAACAGGCCTTTTTTTTTTTAAATCTGTCAAAAAAGTACCTGCTGTGGAGAGTGTTTTTTCCCATCTGAGAAAAGTATGGGGAGACCAATGGGGAATGTAGCATCAGACCTTTCAATAGTAGGCCATATACCCAGAGAGTAGAAACAGAAGTCATTATGTATGAAAAAAAACAACCTAAATATGCTAACAGGAAGGTAGACTCTTTCTAAAACATCATCTGTGTCTTTTAAAATGACTCAAGTATTCCAGGTATTGTATATCCAAGTGCAGTTTCTACTTGCTTAATATACTGTAAGCATTTAACATCGGCAAAGAAATTTTTTTTTAAGTTTGTGTATCTTTGCAATAAAAGTCACAATTCGCCCGCTGCTCCCCTCAGCAGTGCTTTCGGTCTGTCTGCCTGTTCTGCTCCCCACTCTGTCTCTGGTGAATCCTCTCACCCTCCCGTGCCTCTGGCCTGTACCCTGCTATTGTATAAATAAAAAAATAAATCTTTAAAGGCTCTTTCAATAGAACTTCCCGCATATTTCAATAACTTTGGCCTATGAGATTTAAGTGAAAATATTACATTAAGCCAGTTGATTAAATGTGCATCTGTATGTGTAAACCTGTTTAAAGTAATCTTTGTTTCGGGCCTCCCCGGTGGCGCAGTGGTTGAACGCTGGATTGAGAAGCTGCCCGCAGCCTCTGCAGCGCCGGTTCGATCCCCAGCTGCTCCCCGGTCACCGGAGGAGCGTCCCGCATGGCGCGCAGACCTCTCCTGCCGCCCGCTGATCCCCTCAGCAGTGTGCTTCGGTCCTTCTGCCTGCTCTGCTCCCCGCTCTGGCTCTGGTGAATTCTCTCACCCTCCTGCGCTTCTGACTGTACCCAGTGCTTGAATGAATGAATGAATGAATGAATGAATAAATAAATAAATAAATTTAGTTAAAAAAAAAATCTTTGTTTCCTGCTATGGAAAAAAAAATTGCAATACCAAAGAAAGTTTCTATTTACATCTGTTTATCTGAGAAGAGCCCTATTCAGACAGATCACTTAAAGTTAGTATAGCTTCATTTGTTATACTAGTAGTTGCCCCAGGAGGGTTGAGAGATGGAAGGGTGAGAACCAAGAAGAGAAAAGAAATATTCATTGAGCACCTGAATGGTGGGAGGATAAATTTTATACAAAGTTGGAGTTATATTGCACCAAAAAGTCAGAGACACCTTACAGTGGCCCATAGTTCCAGGGTGCCACACAGACAATTTATCTATTTGATGTGTGAAACACATCTTCTCTAATAAAGACACAATTATTCCCTCCATCTCACTAGTAGATGCATTTCCAATAAAAGTTTACCTTTTATACTTAATGGTCTTTATCAAATATTTTGAAATATTGTTTTGTTAATTTGTTTACTACTTACACTTGAGGAAAACTCTATCCAGAAGAATGCTTTCGGTACTTAGAAACCCATGATAATGGGAAGTTTTTAAGTTAAAATTTCAATTTATATGTTTCTTTTTGTTGTAGTGAGGTATGAGAACGTAATCAATAAAGGACATTCAAATATTAGACACTTATTGTAGTAAGATAGAGCTGTATGTGAAAAGAGGAATAGGAACACAATTTCGGGGGAAATTACGTAAAATTTGCAACTATTTAAAAAGACTTGGTTGAATCTATTTTTCAATGGATGATAGTGGGTGTAAAATCACTATGGCATTTATGTCCCATTGAATTCATTGAAAAGAGTGATGTAGAGTGTATTTTAAAATGTCAATATTACATCCTTTACAACTATTTTCGCTTATGATTAATTTAAGATGTCAAATTGAAATGTATGAGGGTACATAGTTTTTCAAATTTATGGGCATTTTCTCCCGCCTTCTTATATGTGTAGCCTCAAAGAAGACACCCCTTGAAAGCGGAGGCTTAAAAGAAGTTTTGACTTTAGTTTATCTTCTTTCGACTATTAAAAATTAGCACTTCAATTTTTGTTACATTGTAAAGTAGAATAAAGATAAACATGATTTCTTCACCTGTTCCCACCACCAACCTCTGTCTGTATACTGCTTTTGCTTACTGCCTTCTTGTAGCCCTTAATGTCAATGTCCATAATATCCACCTCAGCGGTGGCATTTTTTGGAGTGTTTATTAGCCATTTTGAAAAATAGTCATGTCTTTATAGCCTGAAAACCCTTTTCTTTCCTGTGATAATTTACTTGCTTGGAAGCTCCACATATGTCATTAAATATTTCTCTTAGATGTTTATGAATGTGATATTCCAGTCTTGCATGTTGTGCAAACATAGCAAGCATATCATGTCTTTCTGCCACCATGCATCCTAACTTCCTTTCAGTGATGGGATGTCTTCTTTCTTTAATAGGCTGGGCATTTCCTCCAGTGTTACATGTGGGTGAAACATCTGGGTAAGTCACTGCTTTTGTTAGAGGTTCTTTGTCCTTTGAGGTGCCTGTTAAGTTTTTAACTACTGTTAGTAGAATCATCTGTAAGTGGTCACATTTACTTCATATTACAGGATAACTAACATTTGGTCTATGTGTGCCTTTGACATCTTGATACTTTCAAATGCGCCTTCTACATCCTGTTTACTAAAATTTTACATTTTTTCCTTCAAAATAACTATACTCACTAAACTGGTGAGAATTAAGTGGAAGTACAGTTTTCTAATCCATAAACATTGCTAGACCTGGTCTAACTTTGTCAGAATTGCAATTCTGCATTATTGCCAGAAGGGAAGTCGAGAATGCCATTATAAAAACCTTTTGAGCTTCTCGAATCATCAGATAACCTAGCATCATTATTATCCTGTGAAATAAGCTTCATTAATTAAATTGATGAGTTTAGCATGTCTTCTTCCTTATCCAGAAACTTCTGGATTTGATAATAATGCTGAAGGAAATGAAATATAAAAGGGTCACAAGTTTTCAATTACTTCTGCTAACAAGCTACTCTTCCTTTCCTTTACACCTCTTGTGTATAATTGTGGCAGTAAACTGAAGGAGGTTAAGAGTAGTACTAATGCACTGGGAGCATAACTTTATGTTGAAATGTTGAAATAATTTTGCACTGGTTGGTAAGCAACCGTTGACCCAGCTGTAAGTGCTCCCACTCCTATATTTTTACCTAAGTTGCCTTGGCCTTTATTTGGACCCCTAAGCTCACCCAGGATTTGGGAATTAACTAGTAATCTTTGGCAGGGCAACAGGCCTCATGAATCCTGCACCAGCATCTTAACTAGCAACTATTCTGATTGGTCAGTACCTAGATCTTCTAATTGTTAAATATTTTAAAATATTATCCCTGGTTAAATGTATCATTTGTACTTCATTAACTTAATTTTTGGCCCTTTGCCTTTTCCTGTCTTCAAGAGTTGTTTGGGCCCAATTTTTCACAGTTTGAGAACAGGAATAAATCCAGGGTTGATAGCATGTATTTGATTTATGCACATTTTTGTGCATTTGTTACTTGTTCCTTGGTTCTGTGTTTTGTGATGGTAGTGTCACTGTTTTCCTACACCATAATTTCCTTGCTCACTTCACTGCTCCTTCATCACACAAGAAACTGTAAGGGTCAGTGATCTTCTGCGCCACCACTTCCATTTCCTCATTACAAAAATTGACCTTCTTTCTGTTGTTTGAAAGGGCTCAGGCCACTGTCATTCAGATTTCAGGACTGCTGAACAATAATAACAGTATAGGAGGAACAGGCAACCACCGCAGCAGCTGGGCATTGTACTCTCTTCCTGGAATCCATTTTGGATTTCTTAGTCTAGCCAGCAGGTGCTGTTTGCTGCCTTTCACTAGCATTATATTTTACAGTAATTCCCTGCATGTCATTAAATCATTTAGTGGTATTAAAGCACTGTGCTCTATTCTGTGAATATTTGCCAAGGTTCTTGGGCTTTGTAGGCAATTTCATGTTCATAACTCACATCACTCAACTCAGTATGTACAACTAGCATCACAGAAAAATAACCTAGTTAATGATTCCTGTTAAACTACCAACTGCCTTCTCACGATGTATGAATTTGGTGAATGTGTGTGGAAGAACTAATGTGAAACTAATTCAGACATGAAAAATAAAAGCACTAACAAAAACTAAAATCTGACTTCTAGTCTCTTGCTATAGGGTGTTTCATCTATTCTTTCATTTCATAATGATTGCAGTCCGACTGAATACCACTTTCTGTCTGCAAAATTGTTCTTTGAAGAGAAATTTTATCTGTTGGAAGTAGGATATTGAAATTCAAAATTATCATTATTAACTTAAAAATAATAACCCTTAAGTGTTAGGTGAAATTTATCTTAAGAATGCACATAATTTTTATGAAAAAATTTGGTATTATAATTTAGATATATTATTCCATTCCATGAGAAGATGACCATTCACTAATTATGTGTTTTAAAACTAATTGTGTCAGTTCTCCCTTTCAATTGTATGAAAGTCAAAAGTTTATAGCTTTTTTTTTTTTTTTGTGGGACCCTTGCTGGCGGCGGGGGAACAAACCTGCCAGGCTGCCCAGCGCTCAACCACCGCCACCAGGGGAGGCCCCAAAAGTTTATAGTTTAATGCTGTTCTTTTTAAAATATAAATTCCTTAGGTTTTAGAATCATGAAATCAGGAAATATTATATTTTTTGCTTTCATTAAAAAAAAAACATTTATTGAGTGTCTGCTGTATGTCACAGAATGAGTTGATGGCAACAGGAGAAGACAAAACCTCTGCCCTTAAAGAAATTATAAAAGATTTTTCATTTTCACAGTAATATTTTTTGAAATAGGACACAATAGCTTTGTGATTTTTTTAAATAACAAATAATTAAGTCTCCATCATAGAAGTTTAAAGTTGGTGGATGATTTCCATCAGCCAAACAGCAAGGCTGTGATGCTAAATGAAATATAATTAAACTGAAAATTACTTTTGAAAGAATTCTAACCTATAATATCTGAGTCTTTAATTGATGACTTAGGAGAATAATTTTCCAATGATCAGTTATAGCCAGTATTTGTAAGTAATTCATTTCATTTCATTCATAAAAATTTTTATAGTTTTATGGTGAAACAAAACTAAACTTTAATCTTTGATATAAAATTGTGTGAATTTTTAAAAACATAATCTTTAAGTTTCTAAACATGTTTATTAATATATTGGCTCTTATTTAAAATGTCTAATAATTGTTAATGCTGTTTATTTTATTTTATTTAAAACATTTTAAAAATATATTTGTGCATACAACAACTAGGGTGTAGGCCAGAGGTGCAGGGGGTGAGAGGATTCACTTGAGACAGAATGGGGAGCAAAACATGCAGATCCACTGAAACATACTGCTGAGGGGAGCAGGCGTCGAGTCAGGCAAGGTCAGAGAATTCTGCTGCACCATGTGGGTTGTCTCTGCTGGGGATCGAACTCACGCTGCAGTGGATGGTGACAGATTCATAGTGCTGAGACCTAACCCTTTGTGCCACCAGGGAGGCCCAATGCGGTTTATTTTAGTTAACACCCAGTATAATGATTTGGCAATGATTATTCAAATATTACTCCTAACCAAGAAACCTCTTTTACATATACATTTTTTACTGCATTTTTTTAAAGTACATGAGAGCTCAACTTAAGCAATTGAAAGCACCATTAGCATCTCTTATTTGAAATGTGGCTTTAGAATATAAAAATATATAATAATTTCCCTGAATAAAATAATTAATTATGCAACCTAAGGAGAGAATTAAGGAGCAAGTAGGTGTAATATAAGCCCAGGAGGAGACAGGTACATGTGCAAATGTAACAGGAGTTACTGTGTGATTAAGAAAGAAAAATGAAGCCATGCATTTCATATTTCATGTTGCTGTTTCTCTTATCAACTGAGAAATCTAGTACATCTCTGTATCTGCATCCAGATTTTGTGCAAGACCTAGATCCAAGGATTTAAAAATAGCTAATTCTGTGGTCAGAATCATTTAATTTTCACCAAATGATGTGTGCTATTGGTGGCATTTCCTGACCAAGACTTGCTAGGTGAACCAAGGAGTTTCACAATTGAAGGAAATGAGACAGTTAAACTGCTGGATCTTAGTCACACAGACTATTGGTAGCAAACAAGATTTCAGTGGGTTCCAGCAATGGTGTCAGAAGCTACTACTCTTTGGACTGACAGAAGCATGAGAAGGGATTCCCTGTAGAACCTGACTCTCTAATGCCATTCTTTGGGAGAAGAGAAGAGAATACACTTGGGCATGAGGGTCTGACAAATTTTTAATTAAAGGTTAGTTAAATAACTAACCTGTCCTTAGTTAAATAAAGGTTGGTTCTACCCAATCTGAACATTTCTAATGCTTGGGCTTTTTTTTTGGGGGGGGGGAGTTCTCTCTTTTTAATTTTCTTAATGTGTTTTTGTTTGTTTTGCAATAGATGTGCCACCATCAAAAGAATAAAATAGTTGAAGTTTACTTAACACTTTATCCCAGGGTTTTATCTCTAAAACTGGTTTCCACTATGAACCAGTAATACAAATTTCTTTAAAAATTCTGAAAACCAAGATAGTTTTCAGTTTACTGTAATTTTTTCCATCATACCCCAATGGCTTGTGGGAGGAGAAAGTGGAATTGCCTGAATGACAGTGAAGATATTATAATTCAAAAAATAGAGGAATTAATTATGTTAAACTAAAGGGACTTTAAAAGTTGGAAATACAGTTTAATTTTTTTTTGACAGGCATGCCCAGAATCTTGAAGTGATAGGAAGAAATATTTAGATTACATTAACAATTCTCTTGATATAGCAACTTTCACCTAGAATTGGAAGTACAGTGTAAAAAATATACTTTTATTTTCCATTTCTACAAGATATAAAGAGTACCTCTAAAGCTTCACAGGAAATAAAACTTTTATTCTCTACATTCCACTTTAATAGGAACAATTTTCCTTGCTTGTTTTAGGATTGCTAATAACACCTTTCTTTCCAAAGGAGAACACTGTTCAGAGGGGAAAAAGTTAATCTGTTTGTTTTTAAATATAATCAGGCAAACTCAAATACTTGATTCTTAGTTTTTGCTAGCTCTGACCGAGAGTGTATAGGTTGCTGTAAAATAATGATTCTTGTGTCTTTGTCTATAAATTAATTGAGTAAGACAAAAATATTTCACTACCCTGTCCTTAGTTACTACCATTAAAATATTTCTCTAGAATGCAATGATTGCTATTTTTTGTCAATAATTATGGCAAAATTAATAGTACAATAACTTATAAAAGACTCCCTAGAATCAAATCCTACTTGAAAAACCTCTGTTCCAAAATATTTCCCATTTGTAGTTTCAACCCCGGATTACTAGCACTCTGCATGACTTTTGTAGCAAAGCACTGCCTTTTTAAATTAAAAAAAAAACAAAACAAAACTTCAAAACAAGCAAAAA